CAGGAAAACTCAGCATCTGGAAGCTGGAATCATCTGAAGAACCGCTCACTCGTATGGTCGGTGATTGATATTCATATTCAACTAAAACCTTAGTGGGAGCAGATTTCTAAAACACCTATGCACGGCCTGTTTCTGTGGCCTGGGCTTCCTTGCAGCATGGTGTCCAGGTTCCAAAGTGGTTTCTCTGGAGAGTGAGCGAGCCAGAGGGAGCTGAGTTTCTGTAAGATTCAGCCTCAGGGGCTTCATAGCATCACTTCCACTGAACTTCTTTCTTTGGAACAGTCAGTCAAGCCAACCCAGGCTTTGGGGAAGAGAAAATGGACTCAATCTCCTAATGGGGAACAGTGAGGTCCTGCAAAGCATGTAGGACCTGAAGTATTACTATGGCCATTTTTCGAAATACACTTTGTACATATGATATATTATTCACGTTATCAGAAATTAAGATGCCTGTTGATTCCTCAAGAATGACCAGTTTTATTTTATTATTTTTTAATTATTTATTATTATTTATGCCTATAGCACCTAGTCTTCCTAGGTGGTCTCCTATCCAAGTACTAACCAGGCCCAACCCTGCTTAGCTCTGAGATCAGACATTGGGCTCGTTCAGAGTGGCATGGCCGTAGACCATGGACCGTGGCTCCACTGGGGCACGAACCCAGGACCTGTGTAAGGCAGACATGCTAACCGCCATACTATGGAACCACGTATGAAAGACCAGTTTTTGATGAGAGAAAGCTAGTGGTTAAAAGTATAGGCTCTGGACAGAGGAAGCTATGTAATGGGTGAATGATAATGAATGCTTGAATCAGTAGGCCTGAATTCAATCCTGGCTCCATCACTTATTGACTTTGGGGTAAGAATCTTTTCCCTATAATCCTCAATTTATAACTCTGGAGGCGATAACTCACCATACATACATTCTTGTTTGGAGGATTACATTATACCCAACCTTAAATGTTCCTTGGACCATAGTAAACATTCAATAAATTATTGCTTCCCTGCCCCCATTCTAACAAATATTGGAAGGGTATTGGGTTTATCTAGAGTATAAGAGCACCATGTTCCCCATTTCAGCAGCTACACTACTCTAGGCATGAAAAGGGGCCAGGTTTTAAAATGAAAACGGATATCTTAGAGGTCTTAATTTTGTATAAGCTCCTATTTAATGTTAGAACTCCCTACAGATCACTGACAACCTCAGTCTGAGCAGCTCCATTAACAAAGAACTCTCTAAATTCTAAAGCAACTTATTTCATTAGGTGAAGTTTGGTTAAAATTATTCTTCTTGTTAAATCACTCTCCCTCCCCTGACCTCTCACTACCTTCATGGAGAAATAATACCAGTTCCTTTTCTTCATAACTGTTCATTTGGAACAATGATCATAGCTTCTCTCTACTCTTCTTCAGTCTGACATGTCTGATTCCTAAATTTCCCTTGCTCTCTCCAGGGAAGTGGATCCAGGGGGCATGAGAAGTGGAGGGAGGATCTAAAAGTGGAGCAGGAAGGTGGGAGAGGGCTGGTAGCAGCAGCTGTCAGTTCCCTACTTGTATTCCCTTGGCATTCTTGTCGCTTTACAATACCAGCAGCTTTCTAAGGGAAGTTCTTGTGACCCTAAGTTGAGTATTTTTCTCTGGGCATGAAAGCAAACTCAAAATACCAGGAGATTAATTTCTCTGGACAGCCCTCAACCAATGATGGATAAGAGTTTTCATTACCACTGCAGGACACATTGGAGGCAGGTTCTATTCTGTCCCTGTTCAGTAGAAACATAGTGTGTGCCTCATGTATAATTTCAGATTTTCTAGTGGTCACATTGAAAAAAGTAAAAAGAAACAAGTAAAACTAATTTAATAATTTTATGTAACATAATATATATATAACATTATCATTTAACATATGAGCAACGTAAAATCATTTATTAGATCTTTTGCTTTTTTCATATTAAGGTTTTAAAACTTGTTTGTGTTTTACATTTACATCTTAATTTAGACTAGCCACATTTCAAGTATATAGACAATATGTGGGATTGTACAGCAAGATTCAATATCATTGCCAAGAGGTCCTCAGTAAAAGTGAGCCCTGATTATCTACAATGGAACTTGCTTATTAGCACATCCAGGATTGGCTGCCTTCACTTTCCTGTCTCACTTCCTACTCTCCTCTGGTGTTTCCTAAGATAATCTCTCAAATTAAGTACTAGCACTCAAACCTTTGTCTAGTGTCCACTTCTAAGACAATTCAAGCTAAGACAAGGACTCCGCTAACCTTTGGTAAAACATAAAGCCCAAGACAAAATTTTAATTAAAATGTCAATTCCTACACCCATGTAAGATGTCTCATTATTTAAAAGAACCATATGTTGAAAATAGACTTTAAGTGGTCACCCAATTTTAAATTACATTCCATGAATTTAATATTAATGTTTGCTATTCTCATTTAGCCTGCTCACATGAAGTACCCTTGGAAAATCCTTCAGCTGTGGGGAGTACTGCCCTTTCAGCTAGTCAGCATGAAGACCTTATCTTGCTAAGGATCATTTGCCTAAGTGCTATAAGTACACATTTTAGGCAAAGGGAGTTGACTTCTTAATGAGCTGCAGCTAGCTATCCAAACCACTAAGTGATTTTAAGGAAACCATTATTAATGCTAATACAAAGCCCACAAGGTTGGAGTCAGCATTTGAGGTTTGGGGGCCTTAATTGGATCATCATTTCTGATTTTAGTCCCACCAGGCATCCTGGGGTTTTGTCTCCAGCAGCTGGATGCAGCTGTTCAAGTTGCACTCAGTGGCCAAGGATGCTGTCGCTCAGGCAGAATGGGCTCAGGAAGCTGCTCTCCATTTCCTAATATCTGAGTGCTGGAGTCATGGGGGATTTCTGTGTTGGATGGTTCATTATGTACCAGCTGGCCATGCCAGACATTGGTGAACAAGCTAGCTTCAGTTCAAATCTCACACTCAGGCATGTTGTTCTGCAAGACAGGTCTGAACCATCCTTCCAAGACCATTAACTCTTGCCTTCCCTCTGCCCTGCATCACCTCTTCTTCTCACACAAGTAGAAATGTTGGAGGGATTTTTTTAAATGCAGTTGACACTAGTGAAAGGTTACTTGGGTGAATCAACGGACCAAAAAATGCTTCTGAATGATAGTGAATAATAATTGGAATACCAAAATTATTATTTTGCTAGTGAAATTATTATTATACACTAGTAAACTGACTCTCTAGGTGAGAGAAGTCCCCATTTGAAGAGTTTCCAGATTTCTTTGGTGTAAATACAATTACCATGATATTGTTCAACCTACCAAATATGAAGTCAATGGATGTCAGAGTTGAGAGCAATAGATACAATCAGATGGTGCACCATCAAATCAGCCCCAGCACACCTCTGCAGAGTCATATTTCATTTGAACAGGTACCTTCTGCCAATCACCCAACAAACATGAACTCATTTAAGAGACCCAACAACTCTAGGAGACAGGACTATTATTATCTGAAGCTTAAGAGGGATTAATTCTTCTTAAAAAGCAGAGTCTAGATGTGTCTGATCCCAAAGCTCACGTTCTTAACTCTTGTGGTCCTGTCTCCAGACACTAATAGTAAATAAAGGCGGGAACATCTCAGATGGTGTCAGTCAAGGTCATCTTCAAGGAGAAGCTCTGCCCCAGTGGAAAGGCTTAAACGCCTGGGATTCCTTGTCAGTCCTTTAATCCAACAGTCCAAGGTCATCTTCAAGGAGAAGCTCTGCCCCAGTGGGAAGGCTTAAATGCCTGGGATTCCTTTTCAGTCCTTTAATCCAATAGTCCCAACCTTTTTGGCACCAGGGACCACTGCTCCTATGAGAATCCAATGCCTGATGATCTGAGGTAGAGCTGAGGCAGTGATTCTAACACTGGGGAGCAGCTGCAAATACAGATGAAACTTCTTTTGCTGGCCTGCCATTCACCTCCTGCTGTGTGGCCTGGTTCCTAACAGGCTACAGACCAGTGCCGGTCCACAGCCTGGGGTTTGGGGACCCCTACTATAGTCTGCTTTTTAATCCTAGCATCATAAATGTCTTCCCATGTCCTTTCGTTTCAAGACTATGCACTATTGAAATGGGCCCCAACATGAGCCAGCAGGGACAGAAAATCAGCAATGACCTATGGCAGTTTAGTCACATAATGCCAGGAGCATAGTTGAGTTTCTGAGAGGACAAAGCCATACTCATGGCAAAAATCCAGGTTTTTCACCCTTTGCTAGAAAATAGAGGTAACATAAGTAATGTGACACACTGTAAAGGAGAAGCATAGGGTGCTTTTGAGGAATATTCCTTTAGCTTCCCCAGGCCAAGAGGGAGAGTTGTCCTGCTGAGCCACAAGTAGAAATATTAGCATAGAGGCCATATATGTCAGTGACTTTTATTTGAGTGCTTCCATGGCGATTGTGAAATGATGCTATTCTTACATCATAGATGACTGTTGATAATTAACATGTATCCAGGCCCGCGAACTACCCAAGAGGTGTCCTACAACTTTTTCAAAAATGAAGTTCTAGTACTTAAATATCTCAAAATGTGGGCAAATAGATGTCTTTTTAAACCTCACCTATTCCCCAAGAATTTCCATACAGACAAGAAATCAAGAATTAAGATTTTTTTTTCTCAATCATGCACTTTCAGGAAATGCTGGTTTGTAATTGAATTCCCAACACTGAAAATGTCCCTCTTGATCCAGTTCCAGACTGAACTTTTCAGGGTGATGAGAGAGTTAGAGGCTTCTACTGGGGCAATTGCAAGTGTCTCTTTGACCATTTTACTAATCCCTTTGAGCCCAGCATCCATGCTCAGGGAGTTCTTCCAAGCATCTCATTTCTGTTTTGGCTAAACTCATTCTGTAGTTCTGTAGTCTGGGTCAACATCCATCTCACCTGGTGATGAAGTTTGGAGAACTGCTAATGTCGCCACTGGCAAAAATTGTCCCCCCAGCCATGGTAATGACCTTACATGTGACTGACTTGCAACCACAGAAAGCCTAACCTTAGTGCCTAAAAACTTTTGTGATCCACAATGCCAACATTTTTAATAGCACATTTAGCAAATGCATTTTTTTGTTTTGTTCATTTTTTAATAAATGGGAAAAGAAAAATGAGTCGCCATAGCTCTGTAATTTTAGAATCTTGGTATAAGACTACACCTGCTAAAAGAGTGAGAATTAGGCACAGGCACCATTATATTTTGGCCTTTAAAAAAAGCCTGGGCGAAGGGGAAATAAAACAGAATTTGAAATTAAATTTTCAAGGCACTGCTAAGCACCAGGGGCACTAAAAAGATTAGGAAAGATAAATGCATTTTTCTCATGGAACTTACATTCTTGAGTGTGGGGAAGAGGAGGGAGACATACAATAAAGAAATAAAGAATGAGACAATATAATTTTAGATACATCAAACAGTGTGTTTGAGAGATATTTCCTTTGCTGGGACTCATAACATTAGGTGTTCAGAGAAGGCCTTTCTTGGGAGCTGAATTTGATCTGAGATTAAAAAGTGAGAAGGCGGTAGACATAAGAATATGTTGGGGGGAGATGGAGAAGAGCAGAAGGTGCAAAGGTCCTGAGGCAGGAACCAGCCTAGTAGTGAATGGAGAACACCAAAGGAGTCAATAAAGCCTAAAGCCAATGAGAAAGTGGGAGATGAAGCTAGGTTGTAGGTAGAGCCCAAGTAACATGTTGTCCTGGGCCATGAATTTGGATTTGGATCTTATTCTAAGAACAATGTTTTGTTTTGTTTTTTAACAGGGGAGCCACGTGATCTGGTTTGTGCTTAAAAGATAACTCTGGTTGCTACATGGAGAATAGATTGCAGGGAGATTAAAAAGCTAGAAGTTATGATTCAGAAGGTTATTATAGTAACCAAGGTAAATGATACTGCTGGTTTGGACCAGGATGATGATTGCAAAGGATGAGCACAGCGAATGAATATGGTAGAGTTTATAGCTGCTTTACTGGAAAAGTAAATGTAGAGAAATATTACGAATGATATCTCAGTTTTTTAGGTTAAATCTTAGGTTAAATTCCTGGGTAAATAGTAATACCATTTCTTGAAATGTGGAATGCTATGGAGAGAACAAGTTTGCGTACATCAAGAGGATAATGTCTTCTTGTTTGAGTATGAAATTTTAAGGATGAAATTGCATAATGACAACTATCAATTAATCCATGAAATTTTAAATCAAATTCTCCTGAAGAAAAAAATAATTTGATATTACCTTATGGAGAATTTTTTAAACTTAAAAACATGAGATTTCATTCACATTTGTGTGAATCATTAATGATGGCAACAAAAAAAAAGTGTCTAAGCTTGAACTTGAAGTCTATTTTCATTGGAGAATCACAGGTATTTACCAAACTTTAGCTCAGCCATGATGACAGATGAATCTGCATTAGGCTTCACTGTATTTGTGGGTTTACTAAGGAAAAAAAAAAATCTTTAAACTTTAACAATGTTGAGCCCTACTGATAAATATTTAAATAAGAATGTTTTAAATGTTTGTGCTTCCAGAGGGATTGGAGCCAAAAGTCCTCTCTCCACCCCACAAGAAGAGCAAAGCGAAGAAGCCAGAATGCGCAAAAGACACTAGCGAGGGTAAGTCCTATCCCTCCTTCCTTTAAAAAATTATGCCAGGAAAAGATATTTTAATTTTTAAATTATGTGTATGCTCTAATATTCAGATATTTCTAAAGGTTCAAAAATCACAAAATAATTCTTTTTTCTTTCCTAATATGTTTACCCTCCCTTGAATGTGAAGACAAAAAAATTAAAAAATCAAATTCAAGTTTAATTTGTTAAGGTAAAAATCAAATTTTAAAAATTATTTTCAGTCTATGGCCATGCCACCCTGAACGAGCCCGATGTCTGATCTTGGAAGCTAAGCAGGGTCAAGCCTGGTTAGTTCTTGGATGGGAGACCACCTAGGAAGACCAGGTGCTATAGGCATAAATAATAATAATAAAATTAAAAATTATTTTCTCAGCATGATGTATTTTCCATTTCTTCAGAGTGTCGAGTTGTGGGTAGTGCTTACAAGTTAAGTGTTCTGAAGTCATGTAAGGGTGAAGGCTGAGATCCAAACTTGATGAGCAGTGCCATAGCTCTTAGCTTATTGGGATCATTTACCTCATGAATACATTCTGAGTCTAAAATCAAACCTCAGCAATGGGTGCTGGAAATGTTTCCTGTCTTTAGTTTTCTCTTCCATTTTCTAGAAGCCAATGTATCTTTGCATTTCTGCATTGAATGGCAGGTCCAATTGGGCTCAGTTGTTCTCTATTATAACAGGAGTACCGCTTATAAGATATTCAAATTTTTCTTTTAAAATGTAGATGAGGCTTTTTTTCAAGTAAACCTCTAACCTAAGAGTATGCATAAACTTCTCAAAGGGGAATGCATTTATGCTTTCCACTTTCTTTCTTAGAGCCCCACTTCATTCACTGTGAAATGGAGAGTATGATAATACTGATGGTGTCAGCTTGGGTCTTCCAAGAAGAAGATGCCAAGATGAAGTAGAAGTAAAGGGAATTTATAGGGGGAAAGTATGTGGAGCATAAAGGGGAGAGGAGCAGGATTAAGAGAGAGAAGACAAGGAAGGAGGATTAGCTAGGAAGAGCCTCAGTCTGTATTGTAGTTCGAAAGTCTGGGGAGGTCCCATGTAAGCATTGGGCATTAGAGGAGCCATGTACTGGGCAGAAATGGCTAGGCTCTCAGACCCCCTTACCCCTGCTCACTCACTGGCTACAAGCAGCTTTGGTGAGAAAGTGGCCTTGGCGTGAACATTATGCTGCAGAGAATCCAAAAGTATAGGTGCTGGAAGCTGTCTGCTAACCTTATTCCCCATAACAAAGTTCTCTCTTGAAGGGTGATTTTTGAGCAGCTCACCTCCATGACTACACAGCATCTATGTGAGTGTCAGGGTTCTAAATGATAAGCAATGACACTGCCTTCACCTTCATTGATTCAGAACCATTTGAGAAGGCAAAGCTATAAGGGAGTTTGAAATTGAAAACATTAGCGTTATTACTAATGAAATCAAACCAGAGTATCTGGTTGCCCTGCTCCCTGATGGATTTCACTCCTCAACATGAAGGACAACCTCTGTTCCTTCAGGAGCAAGTACAGGTGTCCTTGGTATCCTTGGCTGCCTGGTAGAGGCTGCCCTGGTTAGCTTATTTTATGGAGAAGAACAGGCCAGGACACATCTTCCCTAGACAGGTGGAACTGACTCAAGATGGAACTGTTTTTTCTCCCAGGCTCTCCATAGATAGAGAATGTAGAGAAGGGCACAGCAGTAAAAATCTCTGCCCTATGAGTGAGGAGTGAGAGGCGTAAACATTTCCAACTAGTAGTAAACAATAGAAATAGTATGTGTAAAGTACCTAGCACAGGTTAGGCTTTCTATTAGTGATGGCTATTATAATTACTATCCTAATCAGGGCCATGATAGGGTACACACTATCTTAATTCATTGAAATTTGCTTGAAAGTTTAGAATTATTCAGAGAAGAACACTTAGAACCCTGGAGAAGCCCAACAGCTCTAACTGGCCCAAGGTGCTAAGCTTTGTCAGTATCTGATTGGGGGGACAGCCAAAGTATGCACTTCCTACTGTAATTAGGTTATTTGCTGGACAGTCTGTTAAAGCCATGATGGGAAATGGATTAGGGGCAAAAACAACAGTTGCCTTTTCCCTGGAGAGGCTCTGACTCACTGAGTGATTATACCATTCACATGCACGCCCTGCTCAAATGTTGTTCTCCAGAGCTTGAGTCTTGTCATTTCTAAGTGGTACATGGTGGGGCACAAACTGCTGCAGTTATGTCACCTTTAACTAAAAAGGGAATTCCTCCTAGTACTTCCTTCAAATGTGTGAAAACTTTTACCTGCTAAATAATATGCTTTGTTTAGAAACATCATTCCATAACCCTAATATGCCTAAATAATGTGGCTTCCCATCACTCATATATATGGCCTCAGAATCTACTGAGTCACAAAAATAAGATCACTATGGATTTGTTACCAGGGACATTCTCTCTGTGGCAATATGGTGAAATGTAAATGTTAGTCACTCTACAAGAACATGGGAATTGTATTTGTTCCCAAGATGCCCTCAAAGACAAAGGAGTAAAAATTGCTGAGAAAAGAGCGAGACAGGAAGTGGTAGATGATTTCATGATAGGGCATTCATTTTTTATCAGTGTTTCTATTTTGACAAAATAAACTATGTTCTGAATTCATGTGTTGTACTGTTGTATATGTTTCACTTTCTCTCATGATTCAGAGTTAGAATCATTCTTTCCTCCTGGATATGCAAATGGATGTTGTATCACTGGGTAAAGGGGTAATGTGGATCATGACCATTCTCTGTAGTCTTCTTCCCATTTTAGAATTATCAATCCTTTTCCAAGTTAGTCATCTCTATTTTGTTTTTTATTTTTTTATTTTTTTTTTAGTAATAGAAGCTTCTGGTATTTTTATTGATAGATGACTCAGCTTAACTCCCCATCACGTGGCCTCATCACACTTCTCTCATATTTTTAGGTTCCCTATTCAAATGTGTGAAAACTTTTACCTGCTAAATAATACCCCACTTTCAACCATCCCCACTTTCAACCATCATAAGTATTACTGATTACCTCAGCTTACCTTGTAATACGCATTCTCCAACAGGATCATAGAGTGGAGTTGAAACACAAACTCACCAAGATTAAAACTGTAAATATGAAGCCATAATAACTGTATTTAGTTCCAGAAGAGTAATTTTGAGAGCATATGGTCAAATTTTCTCATTCTACAGAATTTTTTAAAGTACAGACTGCAAATAGTTCTTTAACTTACCCAAATCTGGGCAGTTTTGATAATGTCAGAATCTCTTCCTTTTTTTTTAGAAATAACAAAGCTTCTCTAATCCTTTTCCCTTTCTCCCTTCCGAAAATTAAAACCAGTTTTACTGAAGGAAGACATGTTGCCATCATTGCAGCCTTGATTAAAAGCAGTATTACTTTAGTACATATTTTGCTAAAGTATTGAACATTGAAACAAAAAGTCAAACAATTTCTAAATGTATTTACTTGCATTTTTTATACTATGGACATTTGGATATAGAGGTTTATTCTCGTTACTTTGATTGGAATTTTATGAACCACAATGTACTTGATTTGACCCACTGCAACATTATGCCTATAATAAGGTTAGTAATTTCACACCCCTAATTGAATGGTTAGCATCTGATGTAAATTACAATGCTATCTATGAACCAGCAAATTGTAGGCAGAATTGTTTGAAAAAAGCTTGATTAACACCAGTTTCATCAACTCCAAATTCCCAATAATTTAGGTGAGTTATTTTTCCTTAAAAAATAATTCCTGAAAGAATAACATAGAAAACTTAGTACCTTCAATAAAACATGCTTTTCTTACACTTTTTCCTCCATCTTTCAGCAGTAAATCTTGTAGAGATTTCTTTAGTGAAAGTCTTTCAGGCTTTGTTTGAAAATATTATTTTGCTTTTCTTTTTTTAAGGCAGTTTTCCTGGGGTTGGTAGTTATTTTCTTTCAATATTTTAAAGATATTTTCCCACAGTCTTATCAATTCTATATTTGTAAAGAAGTAATCTCTTAGCCTAATTATTGTTTCTTTTCAGGTTATCTGTCTTTTTCTTTTTGGCTGCGTTGACAATCTATTCTTTATTTTTGTTGTTCCCGTATCACTAAAATGCACCTTGGTGTAGATTTCTCTTTATTCTCCTTAGGATTTACTTTGCTTCTTGGATATGTAAATGGATATCTTTCATTAGTTCTGAAAATTCTCACATATCACCTCACCAAATATTACTTCTTCACTACCTCCTTTCTCTGTCCTTCATAACACTTAACCTACATTTTTTGTGTGTCCTTGTCTCTGACAATTTCTTGTTAATTTTTCAAGTCTATCATTCAATTTTCTAGTTTTCTATCCAGCTTTAATCTGATATTTAACTCTTCTCTGGTTTTCTCATTTTAATTATTACGATTTTCGTTTTAGAATATACATGTCCATTTTTTATTTGACACATAAAATATCTTTTACAATAAATTGTATCTGAGATTTCAATATCTCCAATCTATGTAAGTCAAATCTGCAGTTTATTGTTTCTCCAGACTCACATTTATTGTTATTCCTTTGTATATTTCTCTTTTTTTTGCTATTGTCATGTTTCCTGTATTTTTATTTGTGGATGATTTTGAAAGTTGGGTTAGGAGCTCATTTATTTACATTTTGTTTTCTGAGATACCTAAAGATACTACCAATTTAGAAATGCCTTAAACTACAAATTTGGCTCAGAATTTTGTTTTTTGTTGTTGTTTTGTTTTGTTTTGTCTTCTACTGTCCTTAAACCTTATTAGTATGTGTATAAGATCAGGAAATCTCAACAAAGTCTTTTTTCTTCCCTTTTTCCTCTCCAACCAATGATAAAACTGAGCCTGGAAAATTTTCCACTATATTTAGGACTAAAGAACTTGTTTCTCTCTGTATCACATGTATGGTTCATTGAACCCCAAGCTCTAGTGCTTTCTTCTGCCGCATATATAAAAACCCAAGCTCTAGCTAGTGG